GGGATTTCGGGGAAAAAAAAGAGGGGTATGCCTAAACTTTTTATATGAATGAAAAGCTTAGTTGTACTAACGGGCAGTTATGAATAGATTAAAAATAAAAGAAATAAAAAAACGAAATTGAAAAATAAAATACAGTAAACAATATTTGAAAAAGACTCATTACAAAAATAAATAATGAGTATATAGGTAGCCGTTTTCATTTTTTCATATAGTTCTATATCCCTCCATATATGTCCCTGTTGCAATGATCTAGTGCAGAAGCCCCTTGGGAGAGTAGTACCGTCACAGACAGCTCAAATCCGTGTTTTTGAAAAGCTAGTATTAGAAATTTTTGCCTGAAATTTTGATACCTGTGGCATTCTGTGGAAAAGTGTTCTATAGTTTCTCTTTGTGTACCATAATGACAATGGGGGGAAGAAACAAAACCAGGTCTGTAGAAATAAAAGTTTAAAGGTGGAATCCTGCATCGCAATTTAGTGAATGTCGCTTCGAATTGTCGTGTTGCATATCAGGCGCTGTACCACTGAAACCTAAGGTGCTAAAAATCTGCGCCCTTTAGAACAGATGAGTTGGTGTGTTCCTGCCGTATACAGAAATTTCGGAATCGCGTGATTGTATATAGGCAGCAGGGTCTTAGACTAATAATGACAGGGCCCTGAATTGATTCTGCCGCCAGTGTCTTCGCCTCTTCATTTATTTTTACTCCAATGTGACCTGACACCCAAACCAATCGGATGACATGAACGTGATTAGTATATACGTATGAAATTCAAGTAAACAAGGTGATGTCTTTAGTGCTGTCAGAGCAGTGAAAACTGACAAAGAATCGGTCAGTATAACAACTGAAGAGATATATGTTGGGAGCTTGCGTATATGGCCAGAATCACTGCCATTAATCTTGCCTGAAATATCAGCGTAAAATTGGGCAGTCGCCGTCAATAAGACCGATCTAATGCAGTTGAGTGGATGCCCACTCCTGTTTTCTCGCTCACGCACACCACAAACTAGGCTTTTCACGTAAGCGAGATGAGCAGGAATAAATGGGCTCACCGGTTGAGATGCAAACGTGGTGCACATTAAAAGGCCAGAAATGCAGGCCTGGTCTGGAGAGCAGCACAGAATGCCGCCCCTGCCAAACTGTCGGACATCGGTGATATTCTGGTAGAGTGGGGTTGCTTTCCTCCTGAATAACGTTCGGATTCGTGACACGGATCAGTCCCCCATTAGCCGGTACTAGGGCAACAGGAATGCTATGGATACCATTGCGCAAAAAGGCCTTTATGAACATGTCTTTAGTGGGAAGAGAGGTCGTCCAGAGGAAAGACCTCTGGCCAAGAGAGGAAAGAGACATTAGGTTCTCCCAGTACAATGAGGTTAGAGAGTAGAAAAAAATAAAAATCGAACTACTACAAAACACTGTCGCGGGACACACAACCGAGACACCACGGACAGGTCTTACCAACGACCGGGTACTAGGAGGCAGACTAAACAGAAGCTTGACGTGGCAACCTCACTGACGAGCCGGTAGCAACGCCTAAGCGCCGAGCAACGACTTTTTGCGCGTAGCCAAACTCTGAACATCACTTTCTTTTCTTTTCCATTCTCGCGCGCGCGACATGGTGAAAAGAAAGGAACTATGCGCCTGCTTTTCCTGTTAGCGCCGTTTCTAGGCGCGGCTGCTTGATGGCCAGCGCTCAGTTGGAGTCGCGAATACAATTTGTGACAGATTGATTGATATGTGGGGTTTAACGCCCCAAAACCACCATATAATATATGAAAGACGCCATAGTGGAGGACTCCGGAAATTTCGACCTTATTTGTGACATAGTTAGCAGCCCCCCCCCCCCAAAAAAAAAAAAAGGCCAGGCCATCGTGGATTGCAGCACAAGCGCAGTCACAGAAAATGCTCGAATAACGGCCGTAGTAAACTATCTTGGGACCATACAGTTTCCTAATATACACTAGAGGGAACTCTGGCACTAGTGTCTATGGGAGCTGCAACGCACGGTGCTTCAGCGAGCATGGGAATGATGGGTAGTACACACATTTGTCTAATCTTCGTACTTCTGGCCTGCTTGTGGCTCCGTGTGTGCTTGTGTGGCTTGGAGCTGTTTTCTTACAAAACAGAAAAAAAAACAGCAAATGTTCAGCAGTTGTGCTTCACCACCATATTACTTTAGACTTACCTTTCCAAATTGGGTCGCGAAGTTCAAAGGGTTCGTTTTTTCCTTCGAAACAAAACCGAAACACATCTATAAACGAAGCCGAAAGTACAAGTCGCCGCCCGCAAGTACGAAGACTAGGCAAATGTGTGTACTACCCATCATTCCCATAGTCGCTGAACGGTCGCAGCGACAGAGTCCCCTCTAGTTAATTTCAGGAAACTCTATGCTTAGGACGACCACAGCAAGTCAAGTTGCAATATACCCACTACACCATAAATCATTATTTTGCTAAGTAGCACTCACGACTGTACACAGGAATTTTTTTCGTGGGCTATTTATGTGAAGAACGGCTAATTTTGGCAACTGGAGGTCGATGTGAAGGCGTGTGAACTTTAGCACCAACAGCACCCGCTATGCCACTCATTATTCAACATTCAACGGATAAGTGAGCTACCAACTACGCGTCTGTGTTCACTTGTGCTGCTGTTGGCAAAAAGAAGAATTACGGCTGAGATCTTTGTTATGAAAGGGAAGCGATAAACCGCCCACTTGATACATAATTCGTATTGTGTGACGCCTAGTTGTTAATTTACATGACGCCTGTATAGGCTTTTTTTTCTCTTTTTTGAAAGCTTCTTCAAGCATCTACGTGGATTTGTATGAATGTTCAACGGCCACTCGCAGAGTCTGAGTTCGAATACCATCCGATTCTGGGCGATAGCGTTAGAGTCCATGTACGTAGATTTTAAGACAATTGATACGCGCACGCACGTTCTCTTCTTGTCGGCAGGGTTGAGGTGTGCACCGAAAAGCGAAGCGAATAAGAAGGCGATGCGAACTAAGAAACTGCTGTCGCGTTCCGCTCTTGAAGAGAAAGCTATAGTGTCGTCTTTATTATTTTTTATTTTGTCTTTCTTATTGGTCTCAGGTTCAAGCCCGTTCCAAAAATAGCGGTTGTGGTTGGTCCGGCTGCTTCAGTGCGGGTCCGCTTTTATGTTCAGTTCAACACTGGTTGTGATTTTCCATCGTATCCGGCTTTTATTTATTTTTATTTATTTATTTATTTATTTATTTATTTGTTTGATACCTGGGTTTTGTTAACGTTCATCTACATGGCATTCTTGTGTATCACTCCCATAAATATGTGCGGTCGAGATCGGACCCCCGACCTTTCGTTGAGCAACGCCATACTGGGCTTGGTGCTCTGCAGGGAATGCATTGATGCAAAATTGTATCACGTGCTAATGAAAATTCTATTTTCTCGTTAGGTTGTGTAAAAGCAGAGGACACAGTATATGTAAATAATTCTTAAAAGAGAGAAAAGAAGAGAAAAGTGAGCCCCGTAACTTTCTGCATATAGTGCAACACCTCAAAAGTGGCTCAAGTGGGATGGGGGTAAGGAGGAATGAAAAGCGATAGGGAGGATTAAAAGGGATAAGATAGAGATGAGGATACCCACATACAGAAGTAATGAGAAGATAGAGAAAGAAGGACACGGTCGAAGGAGTCTGAGGACGGGATACCACTCAGCGAGAGCTTCACGGCGTCAGGATATGGCCGAGGGCAAGCCGGTCGGCCAGAGCTGCGCTTTCGTCAGAGATCATGGGGGCACAACCGGTCGGCACGGAATCCAGCGAGCGAGTTACAGGATATAGTATATGTGCAGGTAGACATATCACTAATGTGGTGGCTTGATTTGACTGATATGTGGGGTTTAACGTCCCAAAACCACCATATGATTATGAGAGACGCCGTAGTGGAGGGCTCCGGGAATTTCGACTACCTGGGGTTCTTTAACGTGCACACAAATCGGAGCACACGGGCCTACAACATTTCCGCCTCCATCGGAAATGCAGCCGCCGCAGCCGGGATTCGAACCCGCGACCTGCGGGTTAGCAGCCGAGTACCTTAGCCACTAGACCACCACTGCGGGGCACTAATGTGGTGGCGACAAAGAAAGGACAAGAAAAGAGCACTTGATCATGTTGCGAAATTCCTTTGTCCTGGTATCAACAGTACCTCGTTCACCTGTTAAGAATTAGGCTGTGTGTAATCCTAATATTGGCACGCAAAGTTGGAGTTCTCTATTCAGCCACACTGTGCTAAACTTATATACTTACAACCTGGAGAAATACTTAATTTACGTGCTTCGTACTTATATGTAAGTTGACCGTTAAATTCAGTGATCGCGTTATTCAGTTAATTTCTACAGGCCAAATAGATTCACCAGGTGCCATGTATAGAAGTCTCGAGTGAGTGCCCGAAGCTAGGACAAAGGTCGCAAACGTTTACCAAACATTTAAAGGTGCGTTGGCTCGACCATGCAAGTGACTTTACAAATGTGTATGCTTGCAACGCTGCCCTTGAGGAACAACTCACGTAAGGCTGTCTCTTAAAAGTGAGTGAAAAACAAAATAGTTCGAAGTCACAATGCAATGCTTCAGTGAACACAGCACATTCAAGAATGCTTGAAATTGAAACGTTCATGATGCTATGTGGACGTTAAAGGGCATAAAGAAGAAAAACAAAAGCAAGGAAAACATTAATGCAGTAATATTACTTTCGTTGACAAGGAAAGCGCATTGAAATCGGCGCACGGCACCAAATAACTTGGTTACGTCTATGTGTGAGTGTGTCCTCCTCTCACACTTTCCAGTGCCATGTTATCTTCACAGACTTGGCGAGGACGCCGCCTGTGCTCAGCACCGGTGCGAATAACTAATCTCCTGTAACATGAGTTGCTGCTGCCGAGGTCAGCCTTGATTCCTAGGAAGATAACAAATTTGTTTCTTCAGCGCTCGCAATGCGATCCGGCAGGTTAGCGGCCGTGCTATCGGTGCGGCAACTTGCACCGTGTTGCACCTCATGAAAACGGGCCCTAGCTCGCCGCGAGGCTCAGAGAGAGTGCGGGGTCGCAATGGGGTCTGCCGTGCTGCGACTGCTGCTTCTGCTGGCCGCCGGTGCGGCAGCCGATGACCGGCAGGTGTACACCTGCAACGCCACGCAGCTGCTGTCTCCCGAACTGATCGCAGAGATACGCAGCTACGCGCCGGTGGTGCAGAGCATCATCGACTACGTCCTCCAAGGTCCCGAGCGCAACCGCACCTACGAGGAGCTGGCCAAATTCGTGGACCGATTCGGCGCCCGCATATCGGGATCGCGTAACCTGGAGAACGCCATCGACTACATGGTGGAGCTTTTGGGCCGCCAGGAACTGGACCGCGTGTACACGGAGCGCGTGGCCGTGCCGCACTGGGTTCGTGGAAACGAGTCGGCCTGGATAGTGCGGCCGCGCATGCAGAAGCTCAACATGCTGGGCCTGGGTGGAAGCGTGGGTACGTCGCCCAGCGGAATCACGGCGCCCATTCTGGTGGTCAGATCGTTCGAGGAGCTCCGCACCAACGCCTCAAAGGTGGGTGGGTACCGCGTGCGCACAATGAAACAATGTTCGCTGCTGTCTCAGGTTGATACTCGCCATTTGCTCTTTCTGTGGAGCGTGATCGCGTGAACCTAGAGGTCTGTACATCTACACACGCAGAAATTCCCACAGCCCATATACAGGGTGTCTCAGCTAAAAAGAAATTAAGAATGAGCGCTACGCGTCTCCAACTAGAGCGCTATTGTTCTTAACTGTATGTAGCGCATCACAATATTTTTTTGATCCGACAAGCATAGTAATTAACAAAAATTGGTTAATAAACTTTTTAAATATTGACTCTAGAAAGAAAATTTCTATACAAAACTTGTACTACCCTTAGCCAGAAATGACCAAAATTTTCAATTTGCTGTAAAGCAACGACGCTGGTTAATTTTTTTTTACAGAGCTTTGGTTAAAGTGTGCGCAATTCAGAAAATACCACGTGGTTGTCACCTAACGCGCGGCGCTTTGGTGTCCTCAAATGTAAGTTGAATGAATTAGCAAATAAAGTATCACGCACGAAGGTCGCTTAAACAGGCTATCGGTGACTACGATAGATGTTAAGCGATGATTGGACGGTACCGTATGAGGAAAGAAAGAAAGAAAGAAAGAGAGAAAGCCAAAAAGGAAGAAAGAAAGAAAGACAATAAACTTCGACGAAAAAGCGGCCGCCACGTGCAATACGATACGAGACCGGAGGCGGCATTCGATCGGCGAAGCGTTGGTTTTTTTTCTTTTCTTTTCAAGACAATAATAAACCTGATGATCGGTGAGAGGGTGGCATGTTTTATTTAATTCATTTATTTGACAATACTGCTTGCTCTTGGTGGAGTCGTTGCAGAGTGAGGTTACAATCAATAATGATGCGTAGAAGGTTTTAGGGGAAGCAGTAATGTAAAATGAAGACAATTTAAAGCAAAGAACTAACACAACTTGGTAAGCAAAAAAAAGCACACAATATAATGACGAATTGAGGCAGAAAACAGACAATCCACTAAATCCTAACTACATGTAACGCAAAGAAAGAAACTTTGCATAATCAACTAGCTGCCAAAGAATGAGCCAAACGATTCTATGCACTTGGTTTCAACGGTGGGTGTATAGGGCATTCCACTCAATGATTGTTTGTGAAAAAAAAATAATACTTAAAAAGCCGTTTGATATGGAATGATGAAACACAATGTTGAATTATAGCATCGTAACCTGTTGGAAAATGTACATAACTGGATATACTGCCATTGAGGTGAGCTTTAACTATTTTAAACATAAAACGTAATTTTGATAAAGGTAGGATATAAAAAAGCATGATGGGAATATGTGGTGCACAGTTTTTTTTTTTTGACGTGCTTCGACAAGGGAAAGTCTGAGTCTTGAACGATGCATGCGTTTCACTATAATGAAGAACGTGCGATGATGGTTCTGGGTGGAGTGAAAAAAAACAGGAGAAGTGGCAAGATTATTTCACTGCTGGCACCCAGAAAATCGGGTAAATAATTCGAGATTGGTGCGAAATTACGAAATGATCATGGAGACAGGCACGTTCAAAAAGTGGCGTCAGCGCACAAAAGGCGTAAACGAGTCTCCTAAAACATATATTCTTGCCTACATGGCAGCCCATCCACACGCAAGCGTGATGGACCGGAGTGATGAGACCAGCGTTTCCAGCAATAGTGTTTGGCGAGTAGTCAAGAGCGGAGGACTTCACCCATACCATGTTCACCTGCCTTAAGAGCTGGAAGACAGAGATTTTCAATGTCATCTTGACTTCTGCAACTGCCTACTCACACAGGAAGAAGGTAATCCCGGCTTCCCGAAGAACATAATCTGGTGCGATGAAGCTCGGTTCCCGCACAATGCCCAAGTCAATGTTCACAAAGTCATTACTGGAGCGCTGCAAATTTTCACTGGCTGTTGCAGTCACAACACCAGGTGCAGTAGTCTTTCAGGATGTGGTGCGGCATTTACGACGGCAAAACTATTGGCCAGGTCTTTTTTGATGGAACACTCGCAGCAGAACGCTACATCAGCGAAATACTAAATGGCCCACTAAGTGACTTCACGTGCAACCTCCCATATCTTCGAAGACGGAGCTCCTCCGCACCGCTGCGCGCGGACTCGAACGTGGCTTGATTGAGAATTTCCTGAAGGTGGATCAGTCGTCTTGGAATTGTAGAGTTGCCCACAAGATCCCCACATTTGGATAGATTTCTTTCTATAGGGATACATTGAAGACCAAGTCTACACCGAAACGACGACAACGCCCGCAATACTAAATTCTAAAATAGCAGACGTGTGCCATTCTATACTCTAGAAATGCTGAAAAGCACGACAGAAAGTGTGCTGACTCGATGTAGGCTGAGCACAGGGGATGATTGAGTGTTTTCATAGAAAATGTCTCAATAAAAGTACTTTGGACTCGGCAATTACGCTGATCTCTTTGCAGTACCCAGCTTTCCTATTATTCAATAGCTAGCTGTAAGAGAAAAGAATGTTTTTTCATTCGTTCTGTTTATTTATGCGCACTGCGCTCTAACAGACGGGTACTAAACATGAATTTCTAAACGGAGACGAAGTACGAGCAATAAACTTTTGAACCCACAACCAATAGTGCCGTATCGCTAGCAAGTATCCTGTATAGCAATCGCACGTAATAAATGCAAATATTGCTTTAAAAACTTCTGTAATGATTCCTGCATACGTTTTTATCTTCTTCCTTTATCACAATGTCACCCTCACCCACACCATCATGTTTATCGTCGGCCTGAAAAGAAAAGAAAAAGAAAGCCTGCGCTGCCTCCGGTCTTGTATCGCATTGTACGTGGCGGCCGCTTTTTCGTCGAAGTTTATTGCCTTCATTTCTTTCATCATTTTTTCTTTCTTTCTTTTCTCTAATGGTACCATCTAACTATTACTTAACATCCATCGTAGTCACCGATAGCCTGCTCAAGCGACATTCGTGCGTGAGACTTTTTTGCTAATTTATTCAACTTACATTCGAGGACACCAAAAGCGCCACGCGTTGTAAGCGGCATTCACGTGGTATTTTTTGAATTTCTAACACTTTAAACAAACGCTGTAAAAAATTAACCAGCGTCTTTATGTTACCGTTAATTGAAAATTTTGTCATTTTAGGATAAGGGCTAAAGGTTTTGTATGGAAATTGTCCCTCTAGAATCAATATTTTAAAAAGTCTATAAAATTTTTGGTAATTACCGTGCTTGGTGGATTAAATATATGCTGATGCGCTACATAC